TTGTGTGGAAGACTTAAAAGACTCACAAAGAGTAAGAAATTAAAGATGGCCCAGTGCTGTACTGTACTAGGTTAAACCGCCACCTGCAGGACCAGCATCCCATACAGGCACTAGTTCGAATCCTGGCTGCCCCACTTCTTATCCCACTCCCTGCTGATATACCTGGGAAAGCAGCAGAAGATGGCCCAAGTCCTTGAGTCCCTGTACCCATGTGGGGGACTCAGAAGAAGCTCCTGGCTCCTGGCTCCTGGCTTCATATCAGCCCAGCTCTGGTTGTTGTGGCCGTTTAGGGAGTGAACCAGAGGATGGAAGACCTCTCTCTGTGTCTCTGTAGCTCTGCCTTTCAAATAAATAAAATAAAACTTAAAAAAAATTAAAAAGAATATCTAGGGGCCAGCTCTGTGGCGCAGTAAGTTAATCCTCCGCCTGCAGTGTCGGCATCCCATATGGGCTCTGGTTCTTGTCCCAGCAGCTCCTCTTCTGATCCAGCTCTCTGCTATAGCCTGGGAAAGCAGTAGAAGATGGCCCAAGTGCTTGGGCCCCTGCACCCACATGGAAGACCCAGAAGAAGCTCCTTGCCCCTGGCTCATGGCTTCAGATCAGTACAGCTCTGGCCATTGCAGCCATTTGGGGAGTGAACCAGCAGATGGAAGACCTTTCTCTCTGTCTCTCCCTCTCACTGTCTGTAATTCTACCTCTCAAAATAAATAAATAAATAAAATCTTTTTTAAAAAGGATATTTGGTCTTTTTTTTTTTAATTTGAGATATTGACCTTAAAATTCAGTTATCTCATAGGAGGGATACTTAAAAAAGTTTTTAGAAAACGGAATCAAAAAGGGCCGACGCTATGGCACAGCAGGTTAACACCCTGGCCTAAAGCGCCGGCATCCCATATGGGTGCTGGTTCGAGACCCGGCTGTTCCACTTCCATTCCAGCTCTCTGCTATGGCCTGGGAAAGCAGAAGATGGCACATGTGCTTGCACCCCGCACCCACGTGGGAGACCCGGAAGAAGTGCCTGGCTCCTGGCTTTGGATCAGCACAGCTCCGGCCGTTGCAGCCATCTAGGGAGTGAACCAACTAATGGAAGACCTCTCTCTCTGTCTCTACTTCTCTCTGTAACTTTGTCTTCCAAATAAATAAAATAAATCTTTAAAAGAAAAAAGAGAAAGTGGAATCAAAAGCTAAGTTTATTTGGGAACAAAATAATATTGAAATCCATGAACTGAATGTTTGAGGAGTCTTCAAAAATTCATCAAAAATATGTGTGATGAAAATTCTATGCATGGATTTCTAAATTTTTTTAAAGATTTATTTATTTGAAAGGCAGAATTACAGAGAGAGGGGGAGACAGAGAGAGACATCTTCTATCTGCTGGTTCACTCCCCAAATGGCCACAATGACCAGGACTGAGCCAGGCTGAAGCCAGAACCTTCATCTATATCTCCTATGTGTGTCCAGGGGCCCAAGTAGTTGGGCCATCTTCTGCTGCTTTCTCAGGCACATTAGCAAGGAGCTGGATCGGAAGTGGAGCAGCTGGAACTTGAACTGGCACCCATATGGCATCCCGGCATTGCAGGTAGCAGCTTAACCCACTACGCCACAATGCTGGTCTCAGTGTTTCTAAATTTTTTGCACAAAAATAAACTCATCTTTTAGTTTCATCTTTCCACAGAGTTTTTTTTTTTTTTTTTTTTTTTTTTTTGTATTAGTATTATTTTGTTCTTTTGAGGGAGACTGGGACAAAGAAAGAGTTCCCATCTGCTGATTCACTCCCCAAAAGCCCACAACAATTGAGCTGAAGCCAGGAACTCAATTCAGATCTCCAGTGTGTGTGGCAGGAACCCAATTGCTTTAGCCATCACTGCTGCATCCCAGTGTCTGCGTTGGAGCCAGAGATAGGGATTGAATAGATATTCCAACATGGGACATAGACATTCTAATGGAGATGTTAACCATTAGGCTAAATGCCCACTGATTTGGACAGTATTTTTTTAAGCCTTGAGGGTTTTCTATAAATGATAGCAAATTGGTATTACTCATATTTCACACTACTATTGCTTCAAAAGTTGATTTGTGGTTGTTTTTAACTGATCAGTTTTCTATTTATAAACTGCAGAAAGCACTTGAATTTTATATTGTCTATGCAAATAGACAATAACCAAAAAAGCATCAGTATTAAAACTAATTAATTGCCCCCCATGATGTATAAGTGCAAGCAAGTAGAGGTGCTCAGAGTCTCCACCGAAAGAGCCGTGTTGCTGCGGAACATCCTACTCAGTGGTACACCTGGGGTTGGGAAAACCATATTAGGCAAAGAACTCACATCAAAATCAGGAGTGCAATACATTAATGTGGGTGATTTAGCTCAAGAATTCTGATTACTAGATACCATGGAGTCTGCAAAATAGCTTCCACCATGGGCATTCCAAAAGATGCCCAGATGATGGCACAAATCCTGAAGGATATGGGATTACAGACTATGAGCCAAGAGCTCCAAATTAAATGTTGGAGTTTGTCTTCCAATATGTGACCACAATTTTAGATGATGCAAAAACTTATTCAAGTCATGGTAAGAAAGCTGTTGATGCAGATATTGTACAATTGGCAATCCAGCATCATGTGAACCAGTATTTTACCTCTCCTTCCCTGACAGATTTTTTATTAGATATTGCAAGGCAAAGAGATCAAACCCCTTTGTCATTGATCAAGCCATATTCAGATTCTAGATTGCCACATGATAGAAAGAGCTCCAAACTTTAGGCTTAAGTCTTTATTAAAATAGAAGGAGAAGGAAGTAAGAAAAAGGCATCTTTGTGCAGGAGGAATAACATTCCGCAGTTAAGTGTCTGGTCAGTTACCAGCAGTCCCAGTACTCCCACACCAGGCACACTAGCTCCACAAACCAGGTCTGTTTTAACTAAAGTAGCTACTAGATCAATGTCCCTCACAGGACAAAGTTTCACAGTACAGATGCCTGCTTCACAGTCACCTGCTGGGAGAGCATCAATTCCTGCAACATCAGCATTTCTCAGTGTTCTGATTAATCCATCACCAATTGGGCCCGAAAACATTCTTATTACCACTAATGTGGTGTCATCACAAAATACTGCTAATGCATCAAATGCATTGAAAAGAAAATGTGGAGGTGATGATAATGACAGTGATTGATAACAGTGATTATGATAATTTTTAATCTACTCTTGAATGCAACATTTGTACTTGTTCTTGAATCCATTGTACTGAAATTAAACAAGCATGCTGGATGTTTTCAAGTTGTCTTTGAGAAAACCTATATAGTATTTAATAAGTAAATATAATTTTCTATTGGAATGTTGGATTTTCTTTAATAGGCTAGTAATGTTTTTTCATCAGCCTTTAAGTGTAAAAATAAAGTTGTTGAGCCATTTGGAAAAAGAAATCTAAACACTTAGGTCAATTTTCTAAATGTCTAAGAGGAGCTGAATTTTTTTTGTCTATGATTAAGATGAGAACAAGGGAAGCAATGTTTATTCTGGGACCCCACATTCAGCAATTCCTCACATTGTCTCTACAGGGTAAGAGAATTAACTGATTCTGAAGTCAAACAGCCTGGATCCAAGCTGAGTTACTTGTATTACTTTTTCTATTTGTGACAGGCAGAATTAGAGAGAGACAGAGAGAAAGGTCTTCCTTCCATTGGTTCACCCCCGAAATGGCCGCTACGGCTGGTGCGTTGCGCTGCGCTGGTCTGAAGCCAGGAGCCAGGTGCTTCCTCCTGGTCTCCCATGCAGGTGCAGGGCCCAAGCACTTGGGCCATCCTCCACTGCACTTCTGGGCCACAGCAGAGAGCTGGACTGGAAGAGGAGCAACCGGGACTAGAACCCGGGGTGCCGGCGCTGCAGGCGGAGGATTAGCCTAGTGAGCCACAGCACTGGCCCCCATTTTTTTTTTAAGATTTATTTATTTATTTAGAAGAGTTACACTGAGAGAGAGGGAGAGGCAGAGGGAGAGAGAGGTCTTCCATCCATTGGTTCACTCCCCAGTTGGCCACAACGGCTGGAGCTGCGCCAATCCGAAGGCAGGAGCCAGGAGCTTCTTCTGGGTCTCCCACGTTGGTGCGGGGTGCAAGCACATGGGCCATCTTCTACTGTTTTCCCAGGCTATAGCAGAAAGCTGGATCAGAAGTGGAACAGCCAGGACTCAAACCAGCGCCCATATGGGATGCTGGCACTGCAGATGCCAGCTTTACCTGCTACGCCACAGCGCCGACCCTGAGCTGAGTTACCTTAAAAGCAAGTCACTTTACCTCTCTGCGTCACCAATTTATTTATGGTGGCAATAAGTAGATTTCCTATGTCTTCATAGTGTTGTGGAGATTGAATTAATTAATAATATATGTGGGGCCTGGGGCTGTGACGTAGCAGGTAAAGCCGCCGCCTGCAGTACCAGCATCCCATATAGGAGCCGGTTCAAGTCCTGGCTGCTCCATTTCTGATCCAGCTCTCTGCTATGGCCCAGGAAAGCAGTAGAAGATGGCCCACGTGCTTGCGCCCCTGCACCCATGTGGGAGACCCAGAAGAAGCTCCTGGCTTCCGATCAGCCCAGCTCCACCATTGGAGTCATTTGGGAAGTGAACAGCAGATGGAAGACCTCTCTGACCTCTCTCTCTCTCTCTCTCTCTCTCTCTCTTCTCTCTGCCTCTCTGTAACTCTTGACTTTCAGATAAATAAATAAATCTTTGAAAAATTATTATTATATATGTGATGTGCTTAGCACAGTCTCTAGCCTCTGGTTGGCATGGCGTTGTATGTTTGCTATTATTATGTGATTGAGAAGAGCAGAGAGTTTAATCCTTAATGAAACAGAAATCTCCCAAGGAGAGACTTAAGAAAGTCTGTGTAAGTTTGGGGGACCAGGTTTGACCCAGCATATTATGTATCTAAAAGTACACACATAAAATTACTCAGAGATGCAGATAATTTTTGCATAGTGTTTCATGCTTACTTTACTATTTTCAGGTTCGATGGATGATGTACTGGATTGTTTTTGCTCTCTATACTGTGATCGAAACAATAGCAGATCTAACTGTTGCTTGGTAAGTTTTCTATCAAGAAGGGGCCAGACTACGGACTCATTATCAGGTATCCTGAGTTCTTAGCCTGCTCTTGCAGTTAACTATGTGAATTTGATCAAGTTGCCAAATTCTCTACCATTTCAGTTTCTTCATCTGCTTTCTTGTAAGAACAGTACTTCCATCAAGCTCCCCTTAAACAAAGGCAGCTCCTTTTTCCCATGTGCCACTCCCTGCCCACCTTCCACATACGTTCCCCCGAGTATCTTGAGAATAGAGTCTATGGCCATACCACCCTGAACACACCCGACTTCGTCTGATCTCAGAAGCTAAGCAGGGTCAGGTCTGGGTAACACTTGGATGGGAGAATAGAAAACCTTGGTTGTCATCATCCTTTATTTGCTTTTGGTCAGTGGCTACTTCCATTCCCTGCTGTGTCTGTTTCAGACCTTTACTATTCTGTCCTCCAACTGTCCTTCTCACTCTGCTGTTGTGATGTTCTCGTAGCTCATTAGATCCCATTAGATTTGCTAGAAAAAAAATTAGATGTCATCATATTTAAATATTCTTAACAACCTGCACTTACATATGATTTTCTCTGTATCTGCATCCATCTGTCTTTTCTGCTTTGAAATAGTTTTCCTTCCTCTGTCCCAGTGTTCATTCATTTACTTGTCTGTCATGTCTTTGGTGTAAGAGTTTGGGGAGGGAGGGTTTTCTGTTTGTTTTTACGTGGCAGAACACAGATCCCAAATCTTGCTGGTCATCCTAAGTTTCAAAGCTTTTTCTTTTTAGAGACCTCTGTTGTTTTTCTATGATTGCAAGTGTAGCTTTCATGTATCATTACAATATGTAGAAAAAGTTTAACATGGGCACTGAAAGTCCACAGACTCCTGTGTAATGGCACAATGGCAATGACCCCTTGTTGACGACACAGCAATCATTCCTCACTGCTTCCTACCTGTCTTCCCAGCCAAAGGAACTGAGATTTGCAGAATTTACCATATATGCCTTAGTGCTTCATGGACCACAGGATACTGGTACCCTCATGATATGTTAGTTAACTTTTGCTGTGGCAACAAAAAATTCTAATAACAGTGGGGTTAAGAAACACATTGACTTCTTGCTCAAGCTGCGTAAGGGCAAATGGTCAGCTTTTTGGGCTCAGGTCAATTTTAAGTGCCTTCTCTCTTCAGGACCAAGGATAAAATAACAGCTTTTCTCACAGTGGAAAGCAAAAACTTAAAGCAAGAGGTTGAGGGTGTGTTGGAGTGAAGGAGTCAAAGGGAGTTTTAAGCTTCTGCTTGCCTGTGACATGTGTCATGTGCACATTCTGTTGACCAGAACAAGTGGCCTGGCCAAATCCAGAATCCTTGGTTGAAGAACTGGAGTCAGCCCACAGGGAGAGCACTGCCAAAGGGCATAGGTGTATACCCCAATGTCCAGCCTACCACAGAGGCAATTACATTGCCCTTGCAAAGTGAGTTAGCTCTGCAAAGTGCAGCCATTCTAAACCACGTGAGACTGGGGATGGGAGTTCTGAGAAAAAGAAGATGTGTGCATAGGGTTAACATTGTGTACTGGGAGCATATAAAGTTATACCCTGATGCTGTGACATGTGCCAGGTACTCACATGGCACTTTGGAGCTCTGCAGACTAGGTGGATGTTCCTCCCTGCCACGACTACATGCTGTTAATGCCACAGTTTGGCAGCTTTCTCACTCTTGCTTCTTGTACTTATCAATTCAAGCATGATTGTTCCCCTGATCACTAACTTTTATGTGTGAAAACAACCCAGTAAGTGATCTTTCGCAAAAGTATTTTTGTGATTTCCACATTGTCTATGTATGTAGTTTTTCACCAACTTTTTTTTTCCCCATTTGTTTCTTGCTAGGTTTCCCCTGTACTATGAGCTGAAGATTGCTTTTGTCATATGGTTGCTCAGTCCTTACACTAAAGGAGCAAGTTTAATATACAGAAAGTTCCTTCATCCATTTCTTTCTTCAAAGGAAAGGGTAAGACATGTCCATTATTTCCACAAATCATGTTTTAGAAATGTATATCGACACATGCTTTATGCCGTAAAATTAGTGAAACTATTGTAGTATGGAAAGAAAACAGTGGATTCTTAACCATATATATATAGTTGAATAATAATATGTGGTTGTAACTTAGCTATATAGTTGGATAACAATATGTGGTTCCCCTCCCATAGGAAATCGATGATTATATTGTACAAGCAAAGGAAAAAGGCTATGAGACCGTGGTAAATTTTGGACGGCAAGGCTTAAACTTAGCAGCTTCTGCTGCTGTCACTGCTGCAGTGAAGGTAAATTTTTTTTCATGTACCTTCTTTATCCAATGTCACATTAAGTCACAGATGAAATAATTTTAATTTTAATTTTAATTTCAGCTTTTAATTTCAGATCAGTATAAAATTATGTCGGAATTTTGCTTTACTGTGATCTTTCTAGTAATGGAAAGAATAACTACTTAATTTTAAGGATTTTTTAGCATTATTTTTTTTATTCAATATTTGAAACTTACCAGATGAGTAGTTAATAAATGAAACATATCTGAAAATATCATTATGTCATAATTTTCCACTTTATAGCCTAAAAATAGTTTGAATAAATCTCCTTAAGTAAAGATGATCATTCTTTCTTTCTCTGTCTTTGGTGTTTTCTCGCTTGCTCTCTCTTTCTGTCGATGGCAATATCTTGGTAGGATTTCTGGCTTACTTCTGCACTTCTACTTCAATCAATTTGAGGTAACTGATTATTCAAAATAAGGCATGAAAAAATTCTGTTCTTAAAGACTTGAGATTTTTATTTAGCCAATTACTAATGTTATTCATTGTGTTTGCAAGCCAAGTTATCAACTGAATGCCTTCTGTGAAAATTTGCATTATGGCTTTTGGAATTCCTTGCATGTAGTAATTGGTGTGACTTATTTTAAGTACCATAGCATGATTGATTTTGGTATGTAATATATGAGGAAAAACAGACTTCAGATGAAGAAAGTGCTAAATGTGACTTTCTAGGGTCTCCAAATGCAATTTAGTTGATTTTTGTTTTTTCAAGTTGCTTCATGAATGAATTGGGAGTGACACGTACTTATCTGTGAGAGCATATATAAAAGCACACAGTACTTGACAGCATGTAGTAGGAGCTCCAATAAACAGTGGTGTCATGTATTCACCTCAAAGGGAATATTTGAGTTTATTGCTATTAAGTTAAATTGAAGTAAATAGTAGTGTGTGCTTTCAAGTTCACTTCTTTTCATTTTCTTGGGTTAAACAAGAGTGTTATAGAAATAAATAACCCTAGCTAAGTGGTGATTTCTTATCATCTCAAAGACAAAGGGTATAAAATGAGGGTACTTTCACTTTTCAATGATCTTTGGCTCAGATGTCAAAATTAATATAATCACCAAGTCAAAAACTTCAAATTATAACCTAGCAAAATTAAATGGAAATTCATTAACTATGCAACATTAAACTTGTAAGTCAATTGTAATTTATTAATGACTACTAATTGTTAATATCTTAATGTATAGTTTTCCTATTTGGTTCTTGAAATCTTTTTATTTAGATAGGTTTATAAATGAATACTAAAAATGTAAAAATTTTTAGTTTAAAAGACTATTGTCAAAGATTGTTTACATTTTATTTATTGCTTAATGCAAACACATTTCCTGATTTCCATAACTGCTAAAAAAATGTCACCCAGGAGCTCCAACATTCAACAAGTAGGAATTCTAAAAAGAGAACATGTGCCATTGTCGAAGAAATGATACAACATTTCCCAGAATTGAAGGACAGGAATTTCAGATTGAACGGGCCCACAGGGTGCCCAGCATAGTGGCTGAAAAGAAGGAACAACACTGAGCTGTCATTGGATATCCCAAAACATCAGTGATAAGGAGAGAATTCTCACAGGTTCCAAAGATTAAGAGCTTGTTAAATTCAAGTGATCCAGAATCAGAATGGTATGAAGTTTCTAAATAGTGAAACTGCAGGGGATTGGTTCCGGGGCAAACAGCCACCGTCACCACCACCCCCACTCAGGTAGCCAAAAATCCACAGGTGTTCAAGTCCCTTATATAAAATGGCATAGTCTTTGCATATAAACTACACACAGCCTCTAAATACTTTTTTCAGCTTAATATTTTTTTGAGATAACACATTATCAATTTATATGGTAGTCAAAGGCTTACTGGCTCTACTGAATGAAGAGTTCAACCAGTAAAAACTGAAAAAACCATAATCCAGCAGGAAAGTGCTTTGTCACCTCAAGATGACTTAAAGCACAAGAAAAAAAGTCTGTGTGTTCAATACAGATGTAGTTTATTTTTTCAGATATTTTCAGTCAGCAGTTGTTTCCTTGAATGTAAAACCTGCAAACACAGAGGTGTCCACCATCAGTCAATTATGAACTTAGAAAAAAAAATTTGCTATATAATTCAAGGGATGCAAAGTCACAAGATTTACCTACTGTACACTGTTTGTCAGGGAAGATGTGTTCTGCCAAAACTAGGGAATAATCCACAAAAATGGAAACTGGTTAGCAAGCACAGAAGGAAGATGTTAGGAATTCCCACAGAGAATGCTATGCAGCACATCTGAGTGCAGCCTGTCAAAATCAGATGGGATGGATCAAAACCACCAGGAGGAATGTCTCAGGGGAACTGTCTATTAGGTGTCATTCTGTGCAAGGATGAGAGAGCATGTGCTGTGCCCAGTCAGAAAACACACCAGCTACAGACGGCTGGTACCAAGGCACTTGCACATCAGCCTTGGGCATCTTTAAAAATATTGGAGACAAGGTAAAGAGGGAGAGAGTAGGCATACTAAGCAAATGAGAAAGGGGGAGGGGGAAAGAAGTATAGTCATTAACTGGGAAAACAACAAAAGTTATATAAGAAAGGCAATATAATGACAGAGTGGGCTCAGCAGTAAACAGCATTTACCTTATAAGAATGAGAACACAGACTAAGGATTTAACAACTGTGATTGTCTGTGTTGGGAGGATGGAGGAAGAGAAGGAGGTGGTGGGGGAACTAAAATTTTCACTTGGTGGATTAGGAAAAGTGGGGCTTAATGTGGCTGCATCTGCACGGAATGAGGATGAGAAGGACTGAAGCTTTGTTGCCTTTTATTCGATATAAAATTTAGTATTGTTGGACTTTACAAACCAAGTGCAGGTATTTATTTACACTGCAGGAAGCTACTGTCTGAATTTTTCATACTCTAGAGCACTATTCAACATGATTGTATGTGGAAAAATTGAAAATTAAATTTTAACTTGAAAAATTACTTAGACATTTTACAACACTGTTTTAGAAACTATAGAAGCACACAAATCCCTTTTTCCCTCCTCACTTTAACATTTGTTTTTTTTTTTTTAAAGATTTATTTATTTATTTATTTGAAAGGCAGAGTACACAGAGAGAGGGAGAGAGAGAGAGAGAGAGAGAGAGATATCTTCCATCTGTTGATTCACTCCCAAGATGGCCACAATGGCCAGCGCTGGACCAGGCAGCACCAACAACCAGGAGCGTCTCCTAGGTCTCCCATGTGGCTGTCAAGTGCTCAAACACTTGGGCCATCTTCTGCAGCTTTTCCCAGGCTATTAACAGGGAACTGAATTGGAAGTGAAGTAGCCAGGACACAAACCAGCACCCATATGGGATGTTGTAATCACAGACAATGGCTTGATCCTCTACACCACAATACCAGCCTCTAATTTTAACACTTAAGTTTAGTTTTAGTCCTTCTGGTCAGTGAGGTACTTTTTTACATAATGTAACTTATTTGTGGGGCTTATTTTATTTTGACTGTGTCTCCTATGCCAAATCTTGTATGTGGGGCATCAGCTTTCTGCACTCTGTCCGTCATCCTCATTGCCTCGTTTATTTTAATTTCATACTTTGCTTGTACTGCTATTTAGCATCCTACATTTCATAACCAGATATCCAACATCTTTTTCTTTAGTGCCTACTTATATATGTGGTAGGTGCTGGGGATGCAGCACTGAACCAGTTAGATATGGCCCCTACTCTCTGACTACTGTCTGACTGGAGTTGATGTTGACCGACAGAAAATTTTATCTCATCTTTGGTTACCATGAGCCATCCATCACTCCCTGTTATTAAAACCTGCATTCTCTCTAAGGGAAACACTTCTGTACAAAATGTTATAAAAGCTGTCCTATTTCTTTTTTCTTTTTTGATTTGTTGTTACATTTATAAGTTTTTAATGCCTGAAAACCACCTCACTACCCCCAAAGGCAGGAAGTAGAGGGCATAAAATCATCTAAGTCACCACTGCAAAACAAGTAGAAAAACATCCCATAATAGGAAATCATTTAGAAACTGTCCCCAGTTGTGTGTGATGTAGTGATTCCTTTATCAACAAAATCCCTTTACATAGAAGGTAACCTTCACTGGTGTTCATCATGAGTACAGGAAGCTTGGAGACTCCATCGTGTAGTCTACAAGGTCACTTCAAAAGGTTAATGAAAAGTGGAACTAAAAGATTAAGTGTGTTTAGCTACCCAAAAAATTCTGAAGCCCATGTGCACTTTTCTCATAGGACTCATTTCCCATGAAGTTGTTGAAGAGTCCTCATACTTTATTCATTAGAAAATTAGAAATAGTTATTAAGTTTGCTGAACACAACATAATGCTGACATCGTTTGCCTCGAGTTACACTGTTTGTTTTAAAGTTGGCAAAATTAGTTTCATCTGTAGATGTAAAAAAAATCACTGAAGCACACATTTCATACTGAAGAGTAAATTGAAACTGAAATAGGAAATAGATCAAGTTTAAGGAGAAACTACAGCAAAACCAACAGTATGATTTGAGAATTGTTTTAATTGTATTAAATATATAGTTTGTTAAAAATACCTTTCAGGCTAAAATTTCTTGGACTCTTAATAGCAATAGCGAGTGGCTCCCAGGCTGAACCACCTAAGCATGTTAAAGATGACAGTAGGCAAAGGAAGCTAATCAGAGCATCTACTACATTGGAAAGCCATTTTCTGAACATAGTGCTCAGTTCTGTGACCTCATTACCAGGCATCTGTTGGCAAGGTCAGTATACAAGTGTATTTCTGGCTGAGCAAAGCATAAACATACGAAGGATCCTTAAGGATTTTGCTGAGGATGCTCATCCACGTGAGAGCTGTGGCCGGCCTGGGCGCAGGTGAGCAGCCCCACTGCCCGGTGAAGCTCAGTGAAGACAAGTGCCGCTCGCTGTGTTAGCCGGCTGTGCGAAATCCTCCCTGGGAGCCTTTCCTCCTGGATTCTTTACCAGATACAAAAAC